TGCACTTTGCATTTTACTTCCCCTGAAGAGCATCACCAGCAATGTCATATTTCCCACTGTTCTTCAATAGCTTCATGTTGTGATTTCCAGGCTGTGCTAGAATAAATAGCACAGCTTGGAAACTGAAGCAGCATGCAAGACTGATCATTTGCTCAAAACCAACAGTTTCCAAGTAAATGAATGGAATGTAATTGCATTTCAGCTTCAGCTTGAAAATGTAACCAGTATTAGGATGTAATCTTCCTGTTGAGTTTACATTCCATGGCACTTGCTTATTAGAGACTTTTCTGGGTCACTGCACTATTTGTATATGGATGGGAGTTCACGGACATGTAGTTTGTAGTCCTGCATGGATCACCCCATTGGTGTACTCTGACCTTTCATACAACAAAGGCATCCTCGTACTAATTTCAGGTATTCATTTACCTCATCTTAAGTTTGCACTATGCCCTTGGAGCCAAATCTATCACCATGCGCAAGGACTCCGTAACTCCCTCACGACCCATGAGCTCTCTATAAAAAGCCAAGCCTGACCAGAAGAACTGAGTGCATCAGGCTCAACAGCCACATCTGAGGTTTGGGTCAAAATATGCCAGTATTCTAATTTCTCCAGAAATAACCACTGGCAACAGAATATCCCCAGAAGCAGATTAAATCTTCTCTCACATCTATACTTGTTTCCATGGAAATATGCAGTGACAAGGTTTTTCCCCTCATGTTCTCTGCCAGCCTACCATATTTTTTTTTTCAAACAGCCTTGGTAACTGAATAGGTTTTCCCAAATACAAGAGAGCTGTTCAGTCTGACCCCAAGAGAGCACCATGCAGCAACACTGCTTCCAGTCCTTAATACAGAGAGACAACTCTTTGCAAATCCTTTCAACTAGGGACCAGCAAAACCTTTTCATTACTGAAGACTAACTGGTTTTGATGAGACAGTAAACACCATACACTATGGTGTTACCCAGTAAGACAAACACAAATAACAACTCACTGTCAGCACACTGGCTCTAGACTCCAGCTTTATATTAGAGTGAAGGATATAGCATTTGTACTGCAAGTCTATTCCCAGTAGCTGCGAAACATTTGGCTTCTGGCAGCAGCCCTCTGCACTGCCCCTCACCATATGTCACCATCCCCAGCTACTTCCTCATATCTCCTCTCTTCTCTGCTTCCCTGCTCTGTGCATCTGCCCCAGCCAGAAGCTCTATTTCCCTAGAGACTCACATGAAGTGGCTGAAGCCCAGCCACAGATGACACATTCAGCAGAGCCTCTGGGCTGTGAGCAGTGGGGACGGTGCCTTGGCTTTGGGCAGTTACTTTGAAGTTGCTCAGGGTGCTCTTCCTTCACTGCACAGGAGCAGCCCGGACAGGGGCTGCAGAACAGCACCTATGACACAGGGGAGGAGGAAGGCCTTGCCTGCATCTCCCCAACAGGCAGCCTGCGGCAGCAGGAGAGAAAATGCCCATCCTGACACCCATGGAGGAAGGGAAAGCCAGGCAGTGCTAGGAGTGCAGGCAGAGAAGAAACACAGAGTGACAAAGATCAAAGTCAAAGATGTATAAAAGGAGGCAACAGTGAAATCTCACAGAGGAGAACTTTGGCTTTTGTCAGGCTGTTACAGTGACCTCGTGGCAGCCTAGGTTTTGGACCTTGGCCATCAGGCAAGCCCAGTGTGTAAAGTCTCATGGAACTTCATATTCGGCATTATCACTTAGCAGGCTGCATAGTCACTCAGGTGGATGGGCTGCAGGCCTGTAAATAAAGGATTATGGCATGTGACAAGTGGCTGTTCAGAGGGAAGGGACCAAGGGTATAATGGCAATAGGAATCAGTAAGACCTTAGATTGAGTGCCTCAATAAAGTTTTAAACTAGTGCTTAAAACCATCCAGCTGGCAGAAGGTTGTGCTGGAGAGGCTCTGGTGTGTGCTGGGAGAGGTGCAGGAGCTGCATCTGGGCAGGGAAGGGACATGTTTGGGTAGATGCTTGGTGCCTGTACCCCAGCAGCAGCTAGGAAGAGAAGGACACTACGCCTAGGAGACACCAGCAAAAGCTATGTCAGAGGGCTCCTTACTCTCCTCTCCCCAAGGCTGTCACTTTCCCCCTATTCTCAGGGCTCAGGAAGGTGCAGGAATATTCTGGTGCAAAACCAGGAAGAGTCTAAACAAGAGAGAGTAGGCTGAGAGCTTGAGCAGCTAGGTCAGGATCCTCCCAACGACGGTGTAAACACAGCCTGAGACAGAGAGTAGAAAATGCAAATTAGATGAAGGAAGGATTCGACCTGGAAAACAAAAGCTATTTAGCAAGGAGTAACAACTCACTAACTAATGTTCCTCTTGGCAGAGGGGACAAGAGTTCTGGAAAGTCAAATTATGTTAATCTAACCTTAGGAGAGCTAGAAAATTAGAGAAGGGGACACAAAGAGATTAGTTAGAGAGGAGAAAGGCAACACACAAGCACCAGGACTGTGCACACAGCTACCATGCCAAAGGCAGCACAGAGGGAAGTGCTGGGCAGGAGCCCACTGCTCTGTTCAGGGCTGTGGCTACCATGAGAGCCTGACACACTGGGAGGAGATAAGAAAGGTGATAGCTCCTTGTGCAACTACAAGGCATTGATTTGTGATGACAGTGTGAGTTCCTTGTCTCTGAGGAGATATGGAAACAGTTTACAAACGTTTGTAAGGCATATGCCCAAGCAGGAGGGAATGCAAATTACTTACTAGAGAAGATAAAACAAAGAGTGGGAAAACCAAAGCAGAAAGTGACTTACAAGATTTTACCAATGAGCTGCAAAAGGTTATGAAATAGCTCTCACAAGAACAGCAGGGAAGAATCCAGGTATGGGCAATTTTAAATCTGGATGGGAAGAAAGTAATTAATACATGAGCAATGAAAGGTATACAGAAGAATTTGTTGAAGTGATAAAAATATTTCCACCTGCACAATCTGTACTCCCAATTTTCCACTGCCCTGCATTTCTTGCTATCATTAGCAGCAATTTAGAGCAGGAAAATGTTTACTAAAGCAGGAACATAACCTTATAGCACTGCTCCACCTGAGCATAGATTTCTAGACACACCTAGCCAACAGAGAATTAGGTTTTATAATTGTGTCTGGGAAAATGACTCAGTAGCAGTGATCCTCTTCAACTCACCCAGTCATATCCTCCTGCCCCATCCCAAATCTCCTTTACTCTTCATGAGGTAGGGATATGATTCCATGTTTGGATAGTGTGTGTTAATGTCTTCTAAAGACATATCCTGCTGCTTCTAAAAATCTCCTGATTAATCCCTTTTTAATTGCATTTGGGAGACCAACTCCTTATGAGGCTCCCAAAGATTCACAAGGAAACCTGAAAAGATCAAAGCCCAAACACAGTCCCAATGAAGGTTGAAATAGCCACCTGCTAAAAATTTGGAGAAGTTCACACCTTACATGGTATATATGCTTACCAGTTTAATATTTTCCATGAGGAGAGAGCATAGCCATGGCTACAGTGCTACAGCAAGTATGAATGGTTAGCCTCATCAGCCAGCAAGCTGGACTCTTCAGACAGCAGAGAGCTGTTCCCTAGATTGAGGATGTTTCATGTAACTAATTACCAAGCTTTATAACCGTCCCCTGCAGACTATCATGCTGATGAATGAATGAGATCAGAATAGTCCATATGGTTTATTGTTAGAGTTTGGCCACTCGCTGTAGATGCATCATTACTCTGTGCATTCATCAGCATGGGGATGAGCACAATTCAAAGTCTTTGCCCATACAATATGGGCAACAACCCACACAATCACAACCAACCTGCAGCTCTTCAGCTTTATCCCAAGAACTCCCCAGGCCTTTTTCGTGTCCTTCTGTTCCTCTGTATCCTTGTCCTGGGCCATCCTGCAAGTCCTTTGGTGAATGCCATATCCTTCCTTATTAAAGTAAAGCATAGTAAGCTGCACCTGTAGAAGTTAAACAAGAAATTGCTGAAAAACTTTGAATTCATAACACAGTGGCTAATGGTGCATTGAATACTCTTGTCCTCTGCCTGACAAAATCAGAGTTGCTCCACTGTGTGGCACAGATGCTCTGCAGCTCCACAAGCAGCAATGATCCTCTTTCTGCTGAATGATATTTCCAGAGCAGAGCATTTCTCAACTCCACTGAGGCTGTTAAGCCCAGGAACCATGTAGAAACAGGGGATATTTCAAAGTAACTGCAAGCACCATGTTCAGAGTAGGTACCCAAAAAGGTGTACTGGATTGCCTGACACATCCCTGCATCAAGCAATACCTTGCATTAGCACTAAAGGGAATAGGGTTTCATGGATGGAAACTGCTTTGAGCTGAAATCTGAGAGCTGTACCATTCTTTTCCAGCTCTGGCGTGAATTCCCTAGGCGGTCCAAGGCAGGCACCTTCATCTCCCTGTGGCTCAGTTTGCCATCTGTAAAACTGGGTTAGCATCCCCTCCTCCTTCTTACACCACTTTTATCCTTGTCTATATCAACGGTAAATACAGACGGGCTTGTTTGCGTGCGGGCACAGTACAAAACGTAGGGCACGACCGTGAAAGTCCCGCTTCTGTGGGGAAAGTCTGCAGGGAAAGATGCGCGCTCGCAGGGGCAGGTGCAGAGCAGGACGCACGGATGCAGGGATGCGCACACGGGGAGGGGGGACGCCTGCAGGGAACGACACATGCGAGGCGGGCCGGGCGCTTGCCCGCCGCCCGAGCCAGCCCCACGCCGCGCCCACCGCAGCGCTGCCCCCGGCCCGGCCCGGCGCCGCCGCGGGGCTGCGGGGCGGGCTCCCCCCGCGCCCGCCTCCGCCCGCCCCCCGCGCGGGGCCGCAGCGGGCAGCGCGGGGCGCCGCAGCCTGCGGGCGGCCGTGCCCGCTGCCGCCGCCGCCCCGCAGGTGGGGGCGCCGCGCGGGGCCTGGGGTGCCATGGAGGAGCCGCCGCCGCCGCCCGCCTGATCCCCGAGGCCGCCGGCACCGAGACAAAGCGCGGGGCTGCGGCCGCGCCCGCCCGGTGAGTGCCGCGGGGGGCCCGGGAGGGCGGGAGGCTCCGTCTCGCGCCGCGGGCATCGGGCCGGGGGGAGGTCCCGGTCCCGCAGCCAGCCCTGCCTGATAGCCCCGAACATCCCCTTCCTCATTCACGCCCAGACACCCCCGTCTGCCGCTTCGCCGAGCCCAGCGCACCGCAAGCATCCTCAGCCTACCCTCAGCCCAAACTGCCCTCCCGGCCCAGTCACACTCCGTGCACCCCCAGCAGCCCTGCTCGTTGCCGAACGAGCCGGCGCCCACTGCCCAAAACTGCCGCAGGGGCTCTGAACGCCTCCCACGTCACCCCAAACACCCCCGTCACCCCAAACGCCCCCACGCACACCGCTGTGCACAGCCCGCGCATCCTAAAGACTCCCCCCTCACGCCCCCGTTCCCGAGCAGGCGCTCCCACCACCCCGCCCAAACAACAGCTCCCGCCCCGGACACTCCCCGCCACCGGACACTGCCCCGCAGAGCCCAACACCTCCCGCAACCTGCCCCCTCCCTGCACAAACACAGCCCTGCCCAGCCACTCGCGGTACAGACCCCGCCGCCCCCCGCCCCTGCACGGGGACACAAAGGGGTCCTCCCGCCCGCTCACCCGCCGCCGCTCTCTGCCCCGCAGGCCGAGCCATGGTGGAGCCGCCGGCCGAGCCTCCCCCGCAGCCCTGCCCGGCGCCCGGGGGGGCGGTGGGGGGAGAGCCGGCCCGTCCTGGAGAGCAGTCGCCGCTGCTGCACCTGGATCTGTACAACTTCGACTGCGCGGCGGCGGAGGGCAGCCGGTACGTGCTGACCAGCCCGCGGTCGCTGGAGGCCTGCGCCCGCTGCGCCGTGCGACCCGTGGAGCTGCTGCCGCGGGCGCTGGGGGACCTGCTGCGAGAGGCGCCCGGGCGCTCCATGCGGGTGGCCGCCGGCCTCTACGAGGCCTACGAACGGGAGCGCCGCCGCAAGCTGCAGCAGTGCCGGGAGGAGCGGGAGAGGATTATCCGGGAGGAGAAGAGGCGGATCCTCGCGCCCCTCGGCAGCCTGCCGCCCTCGCCCGCCGCCCGCGTCGCCTCCCGCGCTGCTGCCGCCGCCGCTGCTGCCGTTGCGCCCCGGACCCATGGCGGGGGGAAGGCCAGGGCGTCGAGGGGTGCCAAGGGCAAGAGCCACTCCCTGGACTCGCTGCAGAAGCGTCGTGAGGGCAGCTGGGGCAAGACCTCCTCGGAGTCGGGGGCCTCGTCCTCCTACAGCGGGGAGAGCTTGCGGGAACGGGGGGGCAAGGTGGGTGGCCGGGGCCGGGGGGCAGCCGCTGCCAACGGGTCCTTTCTGGGGCGCAGCTTCAGCTTGGGTGACCTCAGCCACTCACCACAGACTGCCCAGAGGGTCGAGAGGATCGTCAGGGAGGTGAAGAGGAAGAAGGGCCTCTCGGAGGTGCCTGAGAGGGACAAGAAGATTGCGGCACTGATGATTGCCAAGCACCAGGAGGCCAACATCCTGCGGGAACAGCGGCAGGTGGCCCATCTTCAGTGGGACAGTCAGCGGCGCCTGGCTGAGCAGCGTAAGGAGCAGGAGGAGAAGGAGAAGCAGAGGGCCCTCCTGCAGGGTCAGCGGATGTGGGAAAGCCAGGTGGAGAAGCGTCGTGGGAGGCTGAACCAGGAGCAGGAGGAAGCTGCCCTGATGAAGCAGAGGCAGCGCCTCATGTGTGAGGAGAGGTGGCGGGAGCAAGCGGAGAAGCAGGAGCGGCTGCGGAGGGAGAGGCTGGAGAGGGCCATCCAGGAGGACAAGCAGAAGAAGCTCCATCAAGAGCTCAACCTGAAGGCAAAGGAGGAGGTCAAGAAGGAGCACCAGGAGCGAGAGGAGCAGCTCCTGCAAGAGAAGCTGTCCATGGCTGCACAGAAGAGGCTGAAGAAGGAGGTGCAGCTGCAGAAGGAGAAGAGACTGTTTAACCAAGCAGAGAAGCTGAAGCACGAGGCCTTGCTCAAGGAATTGGCCAAGCAAGAGGCAGAAGAGAAGGAAATGCTGAAGGCCTCCCTGAAGATGAGTTTGACAAAGGCTCAGGAGAACTATGAGCAGCTAGTGGAGAAGAGAAACCAGGAGCTGAGGGAGAAGGCCAGGCGTGAGGACATGCAGATCCAGAGAGCTAAACTGGCAGCAGAGAAGAAGGAAAGAGAGCAGAAGGAGCACTTGGAGGCACTGGCTAGAGAAACAGAGAGGAAGCTCCAGCATGCTGCCCAGGTGGCCGAAGAGGCCGTTCAAGAGAAAGCCCGCAAGGTGGTCTTGAGTCGTCTGGAGAAGGAAAAAGTGCAGAAGATGAATAAGCAAAAGGTGGAACAGTATGAAGACTTACGGCGCAGGGAAATTCTCCTCTCTATAGAGAAGAAGCTGGAGAGAAGCGAGCAGATCTTCAAGGAGAAGAAGACTGTCTTAGAAAATGCCAGGTCCGTCGCTAGGGCGTCCTTCCATGTCCGGGAAAAAGTACGGGAGGAAACAAACATGCGCACCTTTGACAAGATGGCCTTTGAAGCAGAACTGCATGCTCACCTTAACAAGAAATGAAAGATCTTGTCATGAACGAGTGGGGATGCACCACCGGTTGTCTATCATAATGCACAGAAAGCTCCTCCACATGAACATTTGAAAAACAACAACAACCAACATCCACCCTAATTTCTTATTCTGGGGGAGCAGGGTACCGCACAAAAATGTGGCAGCTATTTCACATACTGTTTTAAATACATTTTTTGTTCTGGGTGTGTTTTAAGGACTGACCTCAGTCATCTTTCCGGAGGGGAAGCAAGTTTTTATGCCCTCCACCCCATGAGCACACACATTTTTTCAGAGAGGGCTACAGAAGAAGTCTGCTTGAAGCCTGTGAGTAGTGATGGGTTGTTTACTGTGGAGATGACTACAGCCGGTCTCTTCAGTTTGCAATGCAGACAACAGAGGCAACTAACTATTAGAGCCTACTGAGTAAGAACCAAAACCATCTGAGCTGATTCTGCCTTGAGTGACAGACAGTTTGGTTTAAGTTATGGGACTGCATTTTCCAAGCTGCTGCACTCCCATGCTGAAGATGAGGAAGGCTGGAGTACAGAATTCCATATGCCCTGTGTGCCCCTTGTCCACTGCTGGTACCAAGTTGGCGAAAGCACAGATCAAGGCCACGTAAGTAGACATTATGATCAGAGCTGGGCAGAGGCTGTTAGTGCTCACAAACACAGTTTTGTTTTTGCTGTTTGTAACTGTTGCCCCTCCCAACTATCCCCAGCTCTCCTCTTCCTTTTCAAGTTTCTCTTGCAAACATCTGTAGAATTTCTTCTTTTCTTTTGGAAGAGGGAGAGAAGGAGGGAAATCTGTGGGCAAGTCACAAACTGATGGGCACCCACACAGCACAGTTTTTCATTGTGGTGTAAAAATTAGTGAACCCGTGGAATCTGTACTTTGGGGAAATATGAGGATCAATTGTAAATGGAACTCTGCAAGCAGATTGCATAGAAAAATCACCCTCGGGAATTCTTAAAATTCAAGGGGACTCTCAGCTCCTTAACCAACTGTGCCTGCCTTGAGCACAGGGTTGGACCAGATGTCCTCCAGAGTCCTATTCCAATGTATTTGTTCTATGAGTTGCATACAGTGAGACTTTCACCCAGCTCTTATCATTGTCTACTGAACAGAGGAGCATTTCTCTGTCCACTGGTGCTAACAGTTGTCTTCTCATATAGGGCACAAGAAAGAGTAGATGCAGAAAATGAGGTACATTACAGATTCTTTTAGATGAGGACCATGTCTTTTTTATGACTATTAACTTAATACTGTTTTGAGGAACTGAGTCCTTCTGCCATTAAATGCACTGGAAATGTGAAAAGCCTACCTATAAGAGTGTTCAAGTAAGACAGTGTTTCAAGCTGCGGATTTCCACATTTACTCTCTGTTGGGTTGGAGTTCCAAGCACAAATTCAAAGCAGGCACTTTCTGCTGTTTTTTTTCTGGCTCCTGGCAGCATCAGCTCTCTGTTCCACCATCCGTGACGCCGTGCTGGGTTGCTCTGGTGATGGAAGCCAGACCTGGAAGAGAAGCAGCAAGAAAAGACAGGATCTCGTTTCCTTGTGGATGTCTCTTACATACCATACAGTGGAGGAGAAAACCAGGAGAAGGTTGACATGTGGAACAGACATGCAGTCCTGCATGCTTAGATTGCTTACCAGAATTGCCCAGGTGACAGCAGGTTAAAACCCTCTTAGAAGACTTTAAGGAAGGTGTTAAATGAACAGCAACAACAACAATAGACCAAGCACACCCTGGTGCCCTGCAAGGCTGGAGACATTATACGAACAGTGTTGAAAGAGGAGCAAGTAGGGATTTATTTTTCTTTATTTTAATCAAGCTTGCTCTTCTTTGAATCATGGTGTTAATTGGAGGTGTTAAGGGCAGGCAGCATGAAAGTAGGAATTAGGGCACCTGAGTGATGTTTGCTTTGTCAGCCATTGGCTCATTGTGTAACACCAGGCAAGTCCTCAGGGACTGGGATTTGCAGGAAATAGTAACACTTGGCTTGGAAAAGCACTTCAAAGACTTTGGACAACTGATGCTAACAAAGCACAAAGATTTATTTATTTATTTATTTAGCTATTTATTTATTTATTTATTTGAATGGTTACTAAAGTAAAACTTCCCTTGGTGAAAAGCACTAATTAACACCAAAATCTCGTAGCTTTGGAAAGGACAGCTGCATTACTGTTCCCAGCAAGGATTCTGTCCCCTCATCCTCAAAGCAGCAGTTTGAACAGTGAAACAAATCCTGTTGTAACACTGGACAAGGTCCTTGAAAAAAAACAGTCTTCTCCACATGTTGTTCATATTGCAGTGATCTACGTGTGCCCTTGTAGCTGCAAAGACCTAGAAAAGAGATGACCAGTGGCCCAAATCTAGCCAGCACATTTCCCTTGCTCCCTGGCAGCACTAGAGTTGGGATAAAACCTGCAATGACTTCAGCACAGCCCCTGTTTCATCTGATTAGAAGCCTTTGGGGATTCAGAAAGAGCCTGCCAATACAGATGTGAGAACTATTGCTTTCCTGTGTCGTTGCACTGTGGTTGAAATTCACTGCTTGGTCCATTTAGAAGGAAAATAGGGAAAGCTAGGAAACAGTGGAGAGAAGGCAAAATGTGGTGGACAAATGAGCAGACAGCCTCTAATTGGAATAGCATTTTCCCCCTAAAGGTCTACTCCAATCTACCTGAAGACTTTGTCCAAACCTCCCTCTGACAGGGCATTTCCAGTGCAGACTGAGAACCTTCTATATCCTAGGAGACATGTCTTGGCCACTGACTGTAATTACACCTAGGGTCAATCTCCTGCTGCTGACTGAGTTTGACACCTTGGGGCTGCAGCCAAACTAATCAAAACAAACCTACATGATGGTAATTGGACTGGCAAACTACTGTTCCTATACTGTGCAGTGTACAGTTCGAGTTTTGAATGTGCAGTCTAAGAAAAATATTTTTTTTTCAAAAGACAATAATCTGTGTATGGATATTTTTTATTTCTCTATTGGTTTCAGTTCAAAGTCTGTGAAATTCACTGGAGTTCATGAGTTTAAAATTGCAGCATGGAAAATATAAGTCAGCAAGTTGGGTAGAGGCATGAGAGGTTATTTCTTGGGTCTGCTTATGCTTCCATTTATTTAAGAAGGAGTTTTACTGCTTGATTTCTGTAGGGACAGAAATTAAATCCTGGGACACATGTAAAAAGTATGACCCTTTTAGATGAGGATTGTTTGGTATTTTTGCTATTGAGCTGCAGGCTAAGGAGAACTAAAAGCAAGCAACATGTTATCTAACAGCTCAGAAGTAGATTGTGGCTTATTTAGAGCAGAGAAGCAGCTGATGCCATTTGTTAAGGTCCTGCAGAAAGCTAACTTATTTGGGTCCTGTCCTGGGATTAGAAAACACATTTTAGGCTACTGCAGTATTATAATCATAAGGTTATAATAAAGACTTTGCTTCTAGGCCATTTGCCTGCATGCCACATAATGACCACTAAGCCTTGAAATACCTGCGCTTAAAAAGCAACAACAAAAGGACAGTTACCAGGAAACTTCTGTGACTGGTAACATATCTTAGATCCAGCTAGCAGCAAATTCCTAGTTTTCAATTCCTAAACAGTTGGGAGTCTAGATGTAGTTTCACATTGGATCCCATAGATTTAATGGGACAACCCCAAATCTGAAGCTAGTGCCACTAAACATTCAGTTCTAGTGCCAAACACTGACACGTGAATGCAGCTCTAACACAACTTGAAAACCACTGCACTGCTTACTGCTGCTCATTGACTAGGACTAGTGCTTGAAGCTGACCTGCTAGAAACCACTCAGAGCGTTTACAGGGTTTCTGAAGCTGAGATCTTAAAGCACAGGGGAAAAGAAAGACTCCAGTATCATTTAAATATTCTAAAAAGAATAACAGGACCAAGTCCTTGGATTCTTTGGCAGGCAAAACTCCTATCATTTTATACTGATGTTTTGTAGTGAGAGAACATGATCAAGCGCACAGTATCAGAAAAGAAGAGTCTGTCACGCTGATGACTACAGCAGAATAGGCACATAATTTCAGAGGCCTCAGAACAGCGCAGTCTGGTTTCCTTGGGCGGCTGCCCCGTGAGTCTCACTTTAGTGAAACCGTGGCTGCAGGATGAATTCGTCTTGTATTACACATCAGAGAACTCACAGATGAGGGAGAAGCATTGGCTAAAGAGCTCTTTTACCTGAGCTCTAGATGAGTTTTGGAACACTATGGAGCGCATTTTGCATGTTCACAAACTATCCTGTTTTTGTGGGTTGTCTACTTTTTAACTGCATCCGGGCTAAAACTGGAGCCTTTCAGTGGCATAGAGAGTGCCAACAGTCTCATCTGCATGCTTCCTCTTCACACAAAATTTATCACTAAAACATGATCTCTCTGTCAAGGTTGAATTTTGCAGATACGTTCAAAAGCTATTAGAAGGAGCAGCTGCACCACCACTAGTTAATATTTTACAAGGTAATTTTTAAGCCAGTTTATAATAAGTTCTTTCATCACATACATAAGGGGGGTGTGAGGATTAGATTTCTCGCCTTGGTTACCTACTATGTTTCTCCTATGATGCTTACAGAGCTCCAGGCTCATTCTGTGCTAAAATTTCACTTGATGCCTGGGGATTTCTGTTCACTAAACAAATGCTGAATATGCAGTGCACACAGGTTTGGAAGGGGACTTAGTTTGGTGTGCATGTCTTTATTAAGCCAAACCTGGACAGGGAGACATGGGAGACACAGAATTTGCAATACGAATTCCATCAACCACTAGTTTTCTAAAAGTTCAGTTAAGAACAGTCCCAGAGCCACCTCTGCTGGCTCTGATTGGGAAAGTGACACCCTTTGCTCTCTTAGTGACCTCAGAGAAAGCCAGGCTGATCATATCCTACCTGAGGACAGCTCATCGCTTCAGTTGTTACATTAAAGATTTGCTTTCAGCTGTGGGTATTCTTCCTCTGCTGGTAAAGACAAAGCATGCAAATGTAAACTCCAATGCTTCGCTGTGTCAAGGTCCTAGGGAGTTTAGTTTGTTAGGACTGAACTTAGCTTTCATAGTTGTAAATGAAGGCTGTCATGGGCAAAGAGGAAGATACTGGTTTAGCCCAGTCCCTCTGGAAATCAGCCCTGTGACATTTACTTTGCAGTGCAGTACAGGCATATTCTAGTGTGAAACAATGGAGCCCTAATACAACTACTTTGGGAGTGCAGCCCCACAAGTCTTTGGCAAGCAAGTGGCACCCCTGTAAAGAGCCAGTACTGAGACATCGTAAGAAAATCATAATGCTTCTGCTTCTAGGCAGGCGGCAGCTCTGCCCTTCCTTTTGGTGAGGTATTACTAGGTGATGTTTTGAAGAGAAAACACTGGGAAGAAAAAAAAAAAAGCAAAACTGTTCCACACAAGACACCTGAAAACACATTCGCTATTTATGGAGAGCAACCAGCACTCTGGGGATGCCAGTCTTCAGAGCCTTCGTAATGGAATAGGCCCCACATCCCACATGCCTCTTAAAGCTACAGCTTGAAAAAAATTAAGTTCTAGGTCTGACTTCTCTGTCCTTAGATCATTCTTTGAGCATGGCTTCTTGCTGGAGGCTCATGAGCTGTTATCATAAGATTCTAGTCTGAAAAGATCCAAAGCATTCTCTGGCAACTTTGCACTCATCTCCTAAGTCCCTGCCATTCAGCAAGAAATCCTCTGCATTACAGAACCACTCTGGCAGTAAGAATTATCCTGTAGTACAAAACAAAACTGCCAGTGCTATTTTATTCTTATGTGATTTACCCAGCTCCCCGCATGCAATCTCAGGACCTGGCTGTGAGGTAAACTAGTTATCGCCCCCAGCCTAAGTACAAGCAAACTGAAGCAGAAAGAACTGATGTGATTTGCCTTGGGCCATGCTGGCCTCCCTGATCTAGCTGGAGCTCTCATTCAAGTCCTCCCTAATCCCCATGCAGCCCTCTAATTAACCTGTCCTGGTTGCAATGGATATCCCTGTGTCCCTGCCGTGGCAGCTCCTCTGCCTCCTTTTTTGCAGCTGGTGCTTCATGGAGGATGAAGGTTTTGAGCCATCAGCTGCCACTCCTGGGCATTGCCCCCAAAACTTGAAACAGTTCTTAATTGGGGCCTGAAGGTGAGATAGGGCTGCACTGGGAGCCTGTATTAGAGACACAGTGAGAAGATATGTCAGCTGAAATGGGCAGGAACTACAGATGGAAATGTTAAATGAAAGAGTACTCATGGACTGAGTATCTTTATACCATCCTGGCTAGCTAGAATCACTTTTATCTCTGACAACATACAGTAACACTTTCTTTCAGCACATTAAACTTACAGGGCCCAGTTCATCCCATTAGTTACCTCTCTTGGGCCAGCAGAGTTGTTCCAGGAATAAATACAACCTTTTATTATTTATGCAAATCACAGCGGCTTGGGATAGCTTATGCTTCCAAGAGCTTGGAGGAAATTTCCCCGTGCCTGAACAATACCCAGGCAATGGGATGGGAGGTCACATAGCAGTTGGTATTTTTAGACTGGGTGACAAATTTGTCAATACCCTGGTGCTGGTCGCTGTGTTCCTGGGTGTTTACAAAGCAATGTCTGCTTTAGCAGCTCAGTGCAGCTGAGGGGAAGAACAGCTGGCACAGAAGTATCTTGTCAGACAGCAAGCTAAACAGTGGGGAGTAAGAGATTTGGCTCTGTATCTGTTGGGTTCTACTGGGAATGTTTGGGTTGGAAGAGGGTGATGGAATAATTTCTTTTCTTTTTTAATCACTTCCAAAATAGTCTGCGCTATTTTTGACAATTATTTAATGATTTATAAGAGATGGGAAAATAAATGAGAAAGGGAACTCAAAACACAAATGTGTAGGTAAAGGAGAAAGGCATTTTCCTTTTCCTCCTGAATAAAACCTGTGAGCATTGTGCCAGCAGGTGAGAGTTTTGTTAAGTGCCAGGT